ATTTCAATAAATTATATATTATCTCGTAAATTATGAGAACAAAATAATATAGCCAAAAATAATGTTTTCGTTTTTGACGTGGCCCTTGATATCATGGAAATAAGGATTCTAAATCACAGTCTTAATGACTGTCAACATAGAAATGATTGACAAAAAATGAAAAGAAGTCATACATGCAAAATTGAATTTCGTAAAGAATGAAATAATGTTCGGACTTGTAGTACAAACACTAAAAAATATAAGCACTATGGAAGCAAATGGATTATTGTTCGAAAGAGAAATAAAAATAATAAAATTGCAAGATAAAAAACTTGACTCATTGCTCAAGGTATCTCATGAAGATCAAAAATTGAATATGAGGAAACATTCTCCCGTAATGGATACCATCATTTTTAGATTTTTAATTAGTTTGACTACGTCACAAATACTCGATATGCGCCTTATGGATGTCGTAACTGCATATTTGTATGATTCATTTGATAGTGATATATATATATATATAAAGTTTCAGGAATAAATGATACATGCCCGAGAACCTTGTTCTCAATTAAAGTTGCAAAGATCATTATATGGATTGAAACAATCTAGATGCATGCGGTATAATCACTTTAACGAATATTTGTTGAATAAGGGTTATAAAAATGATAATGTTTGCTCATGTCTTTTCATGAAAAAAACAACTATTGAATTTACGATTGTGGCAGTTTATATTGATGATCTAAATTATATTGGAACTCTTGAAGAGTTCAATGAAATTGCAAATTATTTGACAAATGAATTTGAGATGAAGGATTTGTGAAAAATCAAATTTTGTTTTTGGTTGCAGACTGAACATTTCCTAGAAGAATTATTTGCTCATCAATCTACATATACAAAAAAGTCTTAAAATATTTTTATATGGATAGAGTACAACTATTTGCATCATCTATGATTATTCGATTACTTGATATGAAAAAGATCAATTTTGTCTACTTAAAGATAGAGAAAAAGTTCTTAGTCTTGAAGTACATTTTCTTAGTGCAATTGAAGCATTAACATATCTTGCAAACTATACTCGACCCGACAAGTTTTTTCTACAAATTTCCTTACAAGATATAGCTTACACCAACTCAAAGACATTTGAATGGTGTTAAGCGCATTTTTCATTACCAGAAAGGTACTATTGATTTGAGATTATTTTATTTTCAAGTCGGGATCTACTTTAGTGGGATATGCAAATGCAAATTATCTTTCTAATCTACATAAAACTAAATTACAAAGAGGATATGTGTTTTAGATATAGAGTAACAGTTATATCATGGAGATCTGTGAAGCAATTCTTGACAGCATCATCTTCAAATTATTCTGAAATTATTGCAATCCATGAAATAGACAAAGGATATGTATGGTTGAGAAATATGACACATTTTATCCAAGAATCATGTGGATTAACTTTAACTAAAGTTAGCCCAACAATTTTGTATGAAGACAGTGTTGCTTGTATTGCACAATTCAAAGGAACTTATGTAAAAGGTGATATGACAAAATATATTTCTCCAAAATTCGTTTATACACATGAAAATGGCAACATCAATGTTTAACAAATTCGTTCAAGTGACAACAATGCCGGTTTATTCACAAAAGTATTGTCAACATCTATATTCAAGAAATTGGTTCACAAGATTGGAATGCGTCGACTCAAAGATCTTCGGGGATTTTCATTAGAGGGAGTATCAATACTCTTTTGCTTAGTCTAGATTTTATCCCACTAGATTTTCCTAGCAATGTTTTAATAATGCAGCATTTTAGTCATACTGCAAAATATTAACAATTAACTCTTAACATTTTTTTTTCCTCTGTTTGATTTTTTTTCATTAGGTTTTTATTAAAAAAGATTTTTAACGAGACAATTATTACGGAAATAATCATCAAATGGGGAATGTTATAAAATAATGAAATAATTATTTGTATTATAATGATATATAGATAAGTTTTATCTTGTTCAAAGAGTATTTTATTCCAATTGTAACTCTTATTTTAGACCATATAAATACGGGGCTTGATTTTCAATAAAATACAGGAGTTTTTACACTTTTATTTCTAGTTTACCAACATAGTGACCACCACCACGACATGTAACAATTCCCACCACCATCTCCTTCAAAACAACGACCTCCATCCCGAATCCACTCATCACCACCACACATTTTGATGCTCCAAATCTTTGTCGTCACTATTGACCACCACCTCCTCTCCTTTCTTCGACCACTATCTTCTTCCCGTCTTCCATAGACACCAATTAGCTTCCATCACGATTTTCAGATTGCATGTCCATTTTTAGATCCAAAACCAAAAGTTGGTTGTGAATCCGATAATTTTTCACTTTTGCAGTCTCTTGCAATGATTTTCCCGCTTTTTAATTATGATTATCTTGGTTGCTTTCAAGGGAAATATATGCTCACGACTTGCTTCAATTATTTTTTCTTCTTTTCGATGATTTGTGAAGAGTGGTGACATGTGTGGTGGTATAACGCCGTGTCTTACTAGTTTCACGTAGTTTTATTATACTCGTTAACACATTGTGTTGGTAGCGACGACAGCATAACACGTATGGTTACAAGTAGCGGTGATGGTGACGACAATGGTGACAGTAAAATGTACATAACATAGCTTCTTTCAAATGTTACACACTTCGTAACAAGTATGCAGCAAGTGTTATAAATAATATAACTCTCTTTATTACAAAATTTAAATAAACAGTGAGAAATTTAAAAAAAAAAACTGGACAATAATGTGGAAAAATAGTTTAGGTCTTTAGGTATACCCAGTGATGCGAGCTCGGCTCGGCTCGGCTCGGGCTCGGGCTCGGACTTGTGGCGAGCTAAGCTCATGGATATTGAAAGATGAGCCGAGCTCGAGCTCGCGAGGCCAAGCCGCTCGTGAGCTCCTGATTTTTTAAAATTTTTTTTTTTGGATTTTTTTAATCCTCTTTTATAAATTTACACATTTTTTGACAAGCCAACGAGCTCAGCTCGGGCTCGGGTTCATTATTTGACGAGTCTGAGCCATCTATGAGCTGAATTTTAACGAGTCGACAACTGAGCCGACGAGCTGCTTGACCCATTTGACATCCCTAGGTATACCAATAAACTTTTCCTTTGTTTGACATCCCTAGGTATACCAATAAACTTTTCCTTCAACTTTTACATTATTGTGTTAAATGACGAGATTTTACATTCTAAAATTATGAATCCAACAATTAATATGTATTATTTAAAATGTGTGAATTATACTCACCACCTTTTGAAATTTCAATTCTTCCTATCACCCCAGTAAATGTCCATCCCCCATTTGCAAATGGATCTGAGTTTTTT